GCAACATTGTGATTTGTAGATAGATCGCTAATGACAATACTACCGTTTACAAACTACAGCAGCAATGCGAGTATTTTGGAGCCATAGTATCTCAATGCTACCATAGTATCGGTAAACGGTGCAAGCCAATTTGCATGTTCTCCCCGTGTTGTCGTGGGTTTCCTCCAGGTGCTCCGGTTTCCCCCACAGTCCAAACACATGCGCTATAGGGGAACTGATCAACTAAATTTGCCATAGTGTATGAGTGTGTATGGGTGTTTCCCAGTACTGGGAAGGACATCCACCGCTTAATACAAATGCTGGATAAGTTGGCGGTTTATTCCGCTGTGGTGACCCCTGATGATTAAAGGGCCATGAAACCCCCTCGTTTCAGCAGGGTGTTTTCACACCTCTACTTTGGAAAAAGTCAAAAAGGTGGGCGTGTCCAGCTCTGTTTAGGGGGGAGTGTCGGAGGAAGAAAATATGCTTGGTGTGGGAGTGTCTATTTGGGCGCGCTGAATTTCAGAGTCAAAACACACAACCACAGCGGACAATGTGACTGTGTTTACATGGACATCTGTAGTCGAATTATTTGCCAGATTATTAAATGGGGGACTTTAACTGCAGTTTGGCTCTTTCATTCAGGGAATTCATTCATGTCCCTCCTGACAAACGTGATATTTGATTCAAGGAACTGCTCTAAGCGTGTATTTTTCATGCAATGTTTGTTACCGCACAGCGAATGAGAGAAAAAAAACTCTGCATTTCCTGGAAACTTAGATGCACACGGCAGGTAGTGTCAGAAAGCCGCGTGTGTTATTCCGGTCACAAAATCCAACACAAGGTTATAGTTTGGTTGTAACTGTTAGTGCTAACTTGTTTACACTCGTTGCAATAGTTTGTTTGATACGAATAAAATACGAACTGAATAAACAAAGAGCACTGGTCGCTCACTTACCAAATCTGTAGAGACAGGACAATCACCAGCAACTAGAGCCACGTCTTTATTAAGAGGAGACTAAAGCGAATCTGGATCTCAGAGTTTGCAGATGAGAACAGCTCTCAGGTAAATAATAATCCTCCTTGGACACGCAAGTTATTGTTGTCGCGTGTCATGTTGCGTACACTGTTAATCCACACGTGAGTCTGAGCTCTCACAGAGAGAAAATGAAAACTAAACTTAACTGCAGCAAACTATAAAAAGCAACACTTCACGCTTGTTTTGCCAACACAACGTGGCGTCTCTGCCGTCTACACTCTGACAGTAATGAATATTAATGAAGTTGCACAATAGAGCGCGCTGATTGGTTTGAACCAAGCCTTACTCATGCATTAATGCAGCACACTGTAAGACGTAATAAGACACACTCTGGCACAGACGTCCAGTCTGCACGCTGGAATACACGCTATTATGTCATGACCGTGACGCAGCTTCAAAAAATCGTTTCAAACCGGAAGTACGAATTTGCTTGAAATAACGCAAAAACAACCAATTTACACTTTTTAGTGAAATATAGGTGTCCTAATAGTGTTTTTACCAGTGTGGGACACATATACCACTGTCAACAGCTTAACACATGTGTTTTGGTGTTTCGTGACCCTTTAAGCTACCAAGCCAAAGCAAAATTAATGAATGAATAAAAAAATTAATCACTTTCTGGCCATCTAATATTAGGCATGTATATATATAAATATTTAGCGATCGTGATTTTCGAAGTATTACATCGATATGTAAACGTTTATTATTACCATTTGTTGAGCCTCCGCATACAATTTGATAGAGCTCTTGGATCCAGAAGCTGCTTTGCGTGACGGTTTCTTTGGTTTCGAACATACTATGCACTACTATGTTGGATGTAAGGATTAATTGATGAGCCATTGAGTTGTAGTATTTGTTAACTCGCTTTCTCTCCCTTTGACTTGGTCTTCGCTACTAAAGGGATGGTTCAACATGAAAATTCTGTGTTTTACTCACTCTCCAAACCTGGCACCTGTGACTTAGTATTTGTTTTTTATACTATTTCGTTCCCAGTGCTGGATTGCGGCTGGAAGGGCTGTGTAAAACAAATGCTAAATAAGTTGGCGGTTCATTCCGCTGTGGAAAAACCTGATAAATAAAGGGACTAGGCCAAAGGAAAATGAATGAATGAATAAAAAATTGATCACTTTCTGGCTATCTGATATTAGGCATGGATATATACACCGATTGTGATTTTCGAAAGTATTAAATCGCTTTGTAAACGTTTATTATTACCCTTTGTTGAGCCTCCACATACAATTTGATATAGCGATTGGACCTGGTATTTGCATGACGTCACTCGTAACAAGCGGTTTCTTTGGTTTCGACATACTATGCACTACAATGTTGTATGTAAGGATTAACTGAGCCATTGAATCCTAATATTCGCTATATTTCTCTCCATTTGACTTGGTCAGTGTTACTAAATGGATGGTTCAACCAAAAGTGAAAATTCTGTCATTTACTCACTTTTTTATCTTGGTGCAAACCTGTATGAGTTTCTTCCTCCTGTTGAACACTAAAGAAGATGTTTTGAAGAAAGCTGAAAACCGTTGACTAAGGCGTAATCCCAATTCTATTGTTGTACCCCTTCCCCTTGGCCCTTTAAACAGAGTGTGAAGGGCTTTAAAATTTACCCCTAAGAATTGGAACAGCACTACAGCACCTGCACACGTCATCATGTGTCATCGCCATCTCTTATGAAATCAGACGATTGCATTTGCTGTAGTTATTCTAGTTGTGTTATTTCTTGGTGTTTATCTTCAGGAAATCACTGAAGGCCACAATATCATAACCATACAATGTGGCAATAAGCTCGTAACTGTACTGTGCATTTACACCGTGGCCGTATTCATCTATGTAAACACATGAAAACAACATTAACGTTATAGCAGACACTGTAAACAGCTCATTCCCAACCACTGGACTTTTCTGACAGAGTGTCATCTAGTGTCAGATGTAAAAGTATACTGTGGGACGACTATACAGGAGTTATTAGGGATTATAAATAGCGAAATTTAGCGGGGTTTTTTGATGATATATTTTTTTAAAGCATGATGGTAAAACACAAACATGGTTATTAATGTATTAAAACATGTGTTTGTTTGTTATTGAAATTCGTAATATTGACAAAAATACTAATTTGTGCATCTCCTGACTTCCGTGTGCAGTAGCTGGTGTATTCTGGGAAATTTTCTTACCCCTTGGTTTCGAGTGTGGCCCTGAAAAATCTGTTTCAAGGGCTATCTAGCCCTTCCCCTTAGCCCTACGCCTTCAAGCTAAAGATAATTGGGTAAGAGGAACGACTAAGGGGTAGAATTGGGCTTGGACCTTAGTATTTGTTTTTCCTACTCTGGAAGTCAGTGGTTACATGCTTTCAGCTTTCTTCAAACTATCTTCTTTTGTAAGTAAATCGAGAGCACATTCCCATTTTTTGGGTGAACTATCCCTTTTAAATGTAGACTTTGTATTATTTTTCTTATAATGCAATGGAGTGGTCTTCCTCTGCTATCCACAGCTGCTAAATTCACTGTTTCGACTTTATTTGTCAGGTTTTTGTCCTCAAACTGCTCCTGCGTGTAGGTTTAGTAAGCCTTCAGTTGTGTTTTGATCTGCATTTCTCACTGTGAAATAACTCGAATCATTCAGCGTAGTGATACAGAGCTGTAATGCACTCAAAACCTGCTGGAACTATTTATCTGACCTGCACACCTTAGAATGCTCACCGGCCAATCAAAATCAAGCAGAATAAGTAAGGAGTAATCAATGGATTGGCTCTTTTTATGTCATTAAGTATGTTTAAAATGCACAACAAGCCATAACAACTGCTTATTCTATGGTCCAAGTTAAAATAATATAGACCTCCTTTCACATTTCTAGGTTTCTCAGCAGCGGTTGTCAATAGAAAGCATTTCAGTTTGCGCACATAAAAAAGAAAACCTCAACATTAAAAATCATGTGAGACTGAAAACTGCAGAATATTTATATATTTCTATAGTCAAATGCACTGACCTGCTCATACACTACATTAGAAATACCTCTTTCGAAGCAAATATGTAGCTCTAAAGCTGTATAAATGTACAAATGTTAGTTTATCAAACACTCAGTTATTTAAGAGAACTGTTGAAATGCGTCATTATCCTCTTTGTGAAATGGTCTGTTGTTTGTTGGTGTATTATTTGTCAGAATGGCTAAAAATGAGTTGTTTTTGTCAGTTTCTACATGGTAGATCTGGCCATCTTTGAATCCATCAGTGTGTGATAAAGAAATATGTAATAGCTCATAGTAATGTGTGATAGCTGCATCCAGACTGCTGCTTCCCTCCTGTGCTTTCATTCACTGCGTTCAACCAAAGACTAGTCCAGGGGTCACCAACCCTGTTCCTGGAGAGCTACCTTCCTGCACAATTCAGTCCCAACCCTGATCAAACACACATGAGCCAATTAATAGTACCTAAAGCAGCACTTGATAATTACAAACAGGTGTGTTTGGTCAGGGTTGCAACTGAAATGTGCAGGAAGGCAGCTCTTCAGGAACAGGGTTGGTGACCCCTGGACTGGACATTCGTGCTGCCCATTACATTACAAACCACAGGAGAGGGCACATTTTTAGGATAGCGCTGCTCATACTTTAGCCTCCACATCAAACTCCTGAAAGCAAAGAAGGTCAAGCTGGTTCGGGATTGGCCAGCCCAGTCACCAGACATGAACATTATTGAGCATGTCTGGGGTAATATCATTGTTATGAAATTCAGGCTATCAGTGGAGTCTTAAAAAAGTCTTAAATCTTAAAAGCTAAATGTTAGGCCTGAAAATATAGTTCAACCAAAACAATCATTCTGTCCTCATTTCCTCAGCCTTCATCCGTTATAAACCAGTTTGACTTTCTTTCTTCGGGTTGAACAGAAATGAAGATGTTTGTAAGAATGTTCAAAACCTGTAAGAACACATTCAACACTTCTGAAGCAGAAATTGAGCAGATAAACTCGACACACTCTCCTCTGTTTTGTTCAACACAACTTTATTGAGTTCTACACGTTTCTCTGTCCCCATAACAGAATATGGCGGTTTTTCCCCCGCCGTGCAGCCTGGGCCTTGGAGGCAGGTCTGTTGTTGGGCCACATGTGCTGCTTGTGTATCGGGAACTTTCTGTTCAACTCCTCTTTCAAGCTGTCAACTGTCCATGTGGTCATCCTCCTCCTGTTCGCCACCCTCTCCTCCACCTCCTCCTTTCTTACGATGTCAGTTATTGTCTCTTTCTCCTCCATGCTCTTTTCCACCTCCTCACTTTCCTGTCCTTTCACCTCCTCCTCCACCCTGCGGTTTCTCCTCGGCCTCCTTCTCCTCTTTGTCTTCTTCTTCACTTTGTCTTTCTCCATGTCCTCCACTTCCGCTTTTTCAATGGGTTTTAATTCCTCATTTTCCTCCACCACACTTTCCTTCTCCTCCTCCCTCAATTTCATTCTCCAGAACTCCTCTGACAGCTGGCTGCTTATCTCCTCCTCCTTTCTTTACTTGACCTCCTCCTCTGTCTTCTCTTCCTTCGTGTTATCGTTCACTTTCTCAGTCATCACAACCTCCTCCGTCATCACCACCTCCTCCTCCTCCACCATCCTCTTCTCATAGACCTCATAATCTGTTAGAGGACAGATGATTGCAGTTTGCACATACACACCGTCAGTTTCATGTTAAACTCCAGATTCACAGTATTACAGTCTGAAACATCTACTGTAGATGCCAAAAGCATCATTTACCATCTGAGGAAGGAAATCTGAATGGCTCATCACTGGGAGAGAAGCAGAACCATCTCAAGGCCGCTCTGGTGAACGAAGCAACCTTGCTCTTCTTTTTCTTCTTCTTCCTCTCTTTCACTTTCACCTCCTTCTCCTTCTCCACCTCCTCCTCCTCCTCCTGCTTCATCTCCTTCAGTTCCTCCTCCTCCACCATCCTCTTCTCAAAGACCTCATAATCTGTTAGAAGACAGATGATTGCAGTTTGCACATACACACCGTCAGTTTCATGGTAAACTCCAGATCAGGGCAGTAAATATACAGTTTATTCATAACATTACAGTCTGAAACATCTACTGTAGATGCCAAAAGCATCATTTACCATCAGAGGATGGGAATCTGAACGGCTCATCACTGGGAGAGAAGCAGAACCATCTCAAGGCCGCTCTGGTGAACAAAGCAACCTTGCTCTTCTTTTTCTTCTTTGTCTCTTTCACTTTCTTCTTCTTGTCGTCTGTTAAAAGATAAACAGTTGCACATCTTGACACACTTCTCCAGAGTAATTGAGGAAATTAAATGAACATTCACCAAAAACAAACACCCAAATATAAATAACTAAACCACTCATTTACCATGATTTAAACACACTTTAACCATGAAATTTTACTTTTATTTTGTATTTTAGTGTTATTTATTGTAATCAACTATAATAATATGTGATGTTGCTCTTACTCTCCATTTTGGCAGCCGATGTCTCGGGGTCAACGCCCAGTGGAAGATGCTCAATCATGACGTCAGTTTGGTTTTCAGACTTTCTGTCAAGAACTCGGGGTTTGTTTGGTAGCTGATCTGGATGATGATTTCGGTCTTGCACCGTGAATCACTCAAACGGGCCGATGTTTAATCGCTGAGAATCACTACAGGAGACTCGCAACGAAAGACACACCCGCTCAACGCCACTACCACAAACCAACAAGAGTTTCTCCTGTGCTGCAGGGCTTACAGTTCACTTTTGGAATGCGTTCTATTCTCAGAACACGCTTCACTATGGTAACCAGACCCTGCACTAACCAATGTTTTCTTTTAAAAACAAATGACTGAGGACATGTGCAAAGCACATAGAATACATAAAACTCTGCTAAATTAATTGATTAAAAGCCGTCATAAATACATAATTAGTTAGAAATTGATGCAACTGTAGACAAAGAAGCACAACAAATGTAATGGAGAGGGTTCTGCTAAACTCAAACCACAAAACTGACATATATTGATTGAAATAATATAAATTTATTTGAAGTATTCAGCTTCAATGTGATGCATCCAGCAAGACATAGGGGAGAGCGGGGCACAGAGTGATACTTTTTGGTGTTGGCCAAATAATGAACGAATAGAATATAACCCCTAATAATAATCCCTACTGGGGTTAGACCAACCATTTGTTTTTTTACCAACAACACACAAGCCTCTCCTACAAATGAGCACTGCTTTTTATTTTTATAAATGTATTTTTTATTCTACATAGCACAATGTTTATTTATTTATTTATCTATGGAATAAACACATTTTGATTTATTTGCATTATTATCCATCATTTTGCAATGCATTTATTTGCATTATTAGCAATAAAAAATTATATTAAATAAAAAAACTATATTAAAAAAAACTTTTTTCATTTGAAAAGTTCCCAACAATACACTCAGAATTTAGCAATGATTGTGTTGGTTTAATTGGTGTCCAACAGTGTGTGGCTTATTTGTAACACCCTGTTACAACTAACCCCGCTGTGTCGCGTTTTCCTCTAAACTGGCTACGTAGCTTTTTTACATCTTTCAAAATGGTTCCATCTTTTAGCCCACAATATTTAATATTCAATATGAGCGATATTTAAAAATCAGTGAAAGTATGAGCGTAAAATCTTGTAAAATATTGCTGTAAACACCGTCTTCACTCTCAGAAATAAAGGTGCAGGAGCTGTCATTGGGGCAGTATCTTTTCAAAAGGTGCATATTTGTACCTGAAGGGTCCACAGTGGTACCTCAAATGTACTTTTTAGTAACATTAGGGTACGAATATGCACTGTGGACTATGTGGGTACAAATGTGTATCTTTTAAAAAGATAAATAAAATTGCTGCTTCACACCTTTTTATTGGTCATTTTTTGCTTAAAGAATAAAGACTTTGGGATGGAGCACACGTGCACACACACACACACACACACACACACACTGAAGGAAGCACAGAAATGACATCAGGATATTTTATTATAAAACAGTCGTGTCCTGTAATCTGCCAGTGTGTGCGGCAGATGAGCAACACTGTTCTCGATGTACATCAGACATCTTCACTTCTTAAAGCGATCCAGCGCTGATTTCTTCTCCAGCTCTTTCCTCTCGTCGCTCCTCTCCTTCTGCTCTTTCTGTCGTTTCATCTTCTCTTCAACAGTCTGTCGGATTTCATCCTGCAGAATCACAATAGAGGAGAAATCATGACAACTCAAAAATATAAATAAGAGATTTTTTGGTTCTTTGTCGAATATTTCCCGAATGATGTTGAACAGATTCAGGAAATTTTCACAGTATTTCCTATAATATTTGTTTCTTCTGGAGAAAGTCTTACTTGTTTTATTTCAGTTAGAATAAAAGCAGTTTTTAATTGTTTTAAACCCATTTTAAGGTCAATATTATTAGCCTCCTTCAGCAATATTAGTGTTGGATTGTCTCCAGAACAAACCACTGTTATACAATGACTTGCCTAATTACCCTAACTTTACCCTAATTACCCTAGTGAAGCCTTTACATGTCACTTTAAGCTGAATACTAGTGTCTTGAAGAATATCTAGTCTAATATTATTTACTATCATCATGACAGAAAGAAAATACATCAGTTATTAGAGATGAATTAGTAAAACTAATATGATTATAAATATGCTGAATAAAAAATACAGACATTTGGTAAAAAAATATAAAATAATTCAAATGTAACTGGATCGCTCTCTTCAACTGTAAATTTAAAGGGTCACAAAACACCAGAACACATGTGTTGAGCTGTTGACAGTGGTATATGTGTCCCACACTGCTAAAAACACTATTAGGACACCTATATCTCACTAAAAAGTGTAAATTGGTTGTTTTTGCCTTATTTAGAGCAAATTCGTTTTTAAGGATTGAAACGAATTTTTAAAGCTGCGTCCCGGCCATGAGATCTAGACTGGATGTCTGTACCTGGGTGTCCCGTATTACGTCTCCGAGTGTGCTGCATTAATGCAAGAGTAAGGCTTGGTTCAAACCAATCAGCGCGCTCTATTGTGCACCTTCATTAATATTCATTACTGTCACAGTGTTTAGACGGCAGAGACGCCACGTTGTGTTGGCAAAACAAGCGTGAAGTGTTGCTTTTATAGTTTGCTGCAGTTCAGTTTCGTTTTCATTTTCTCTCTGTGAGAGCGCAGACTCACGTGTGGATTACAGTGTACGCAACATGACGCGCGACAACAATAACTTACGTGTCTAGTATCGAACTATTGCACTTATTGTAAACATGTTAGCTCCACAACCAAACTTTAACCTCGTGTAGGGTTTTTACCGTATTTAGTGACCGGAATAACACACGCGGCTTTCTGACGCTACCTGCTGAGTGCATCTAAGTTTTCAGGAAATGCTGAGGGTTTTTTTTCTCTCATTCGCCGTGCGGTATCAAACATTGCATGAAAAATACACGCTTACAGCAGTTCCTCGAATCAAATATCTCGTTTGTCGCGAGTGACACGACTGAATTCCCTGAATGAAAGAGCCAAACTGCAGTTAAAGTCCACCATTTAATAATTTGCCAAATAATTCGACTACAGATGTCCATGTAAACACAGTCACTTTCTCCCCGGTGTGTGTGTGTGTGTGTGTGTGTTTTGACTCTGAAAGTCAGCGCGCCCAAATAGACACTCCCACACCAAGCCTCTTTAGTTCATCCGACACTCCCCCCTAAACAGAGCTGGACACGCCCACTTTTCTGACTTTTCCCAGTAGAGGTGTGAAAACACCCTGCTGAAACGAGGGGGTTTCATGGCCCTTTAAATTATAGAGCGATTAAGAAATGTGAATGAGATTTCATAACTTTAATTTCTATATTAGTGCATTGATTTTTCCTTATTTTCTCATCCCAATGTTGAAAGGTATGTTAAATAAATAAAAAAATCAATTAAAGTATGCAATAAATACTAGAAAACATTCTAATACAGTTTTTAGAGTTCAAAGAGAAACAAGACTTGCTGTTAAAATTCCTCAAGTCTATGATATTCTAGCTTCTAGATATGATTTCTTTAGATTCTCATGATCTATATATAGTTCTTGATCTCCTGCAATGCTGTCAGACATTCTAGCCGTTGTCAAGAAGGCATAAGATGATCCCAAACACACCAGGATGACTTAATCTTAAGCTTATTAGAAGAATCAGAAACTTGCCTTTACCAAATACCACTAAAACAAACGGCAGAGCGACAGAGAGAGATGACATACGCTCTGATCTTCATGGGCGACTTTCCTCTTTCTTTTCTCTACAGCGCCTGCAGAATAAATATAAAATAATATAGACCTCCTTTCACATTTCTAGGTTTCTCAGCAGCGGTTGTCAATAGAAAGCATTTCAGTTTGCGCACATAAAAAAGAAAACCTCAACATTAAAAATCATGTGAGACTGAAAACTGCAGAATATTTATATATTTCTATAGTCAAATGCACTGACCTGCTCATACACTACATTAGGAATACCTCTTTCGAAGCAAATATGTAGCTCTAAAGCTGTATAAATGTACAAATGTTAGTTTATTAAACACTCAGTTATTTAAGAGAACTGTTGAAATGCGTCATTATCCTCTTTGTGAAATGGTCTGTTGTTTGTTGGTGTATTATTTGTCAGAATGGCTAAAAATGAGTTAGAATTCTTGTCAGTTTCTACACGTTAGATCTGGCCATCTTTGAATCCGTCAGTGTGTGATAAAGAAATATGTAATAGCTCATAGTAATGTGTGATAGCTGCATCCAGACTGCTGCTTCCCTCCTGTGCTTTCATTCACTGCGTTCAACCAAAGACTAGTCCAGGGGTCACCAACCCTGTTCCTGGAGAGCTACCTTCCTGCAGAATTCAGTCCCAACCCTGATCAAACACACCTGAGCCAATTAATAGTACCTAAAGCAGCACTTGATAATTACAAACAGGTGTGTTTGGTCAGGGTTGCAACTGAAATGTGCAGGAAGGCAGCTCTTCAGGAACAGGGTTGGTGACCCCTGGACTGGACATTCGTGCTGCCCATTACATTACAAACCACAGGAGAGGGCACATTTTTAGGATAGCGCTGCTCATACTTTAGCCTCCACATCAAACTCCTGAAAGCAAAGAAGGTCAAGCTGGTTCAGGATTGGCCAGCCCAGTCACCAGACATGAACATTATTGAGCATGTCTGGGGTAATATCATTGTTATGAAATTCAGGCTATCAGTGGAGTCTTAAAAAAGTCTTAAATCTCAAAAGCTAAATGTTAGGCCTGAAAATATAGTTCAACCAAAACAATCATTCTGTCCTCATTTCCTCAGCCTTCAGCTGTTATAAACCAGTTTGACTTTCTTTCTTCGGGTTGAACAGAAATGAAGATGTTTGTAAGAATGTTCAAAACCTGTAAGAACACATTCAACACTTCTGAAGCAGAAATTGAGCAGATAAACTCGACACACTCTCCTCTGTTTTGTTCAACACAACTTTATTGAGTTCTACACGTTTCTCTGTCCCCATAACAGAATATGGCGGTTTTTCCCCCGCCGTGCAGCCTGGGCCTTGGAGGCAGGTCTGTTGTTGGGCCACATGTGCTGCTTGTGTATCGGGAACTTTCTGTTCAACTCCTCTTTCAAGCTGTCAACTGTCCATGTGGTCATCCTCCTCCTGTTCGCCACCCTCTCCTCCACCTCCTCCTTTCTTACGATGTCAGGTATTGTCTCTTTCTCCTCCATGCTCTTTTCCACCTCCTCACTTTCCTGTCCTTTCACCTCCTCCTCCACCCTGCGGTTTCTCCTCGGCCTCCTTCTCCTCTTTGTCTTCTTCTTCACTTTGTCTTTCTCCATGTCCTCCACTTCCGCTTTTTCAATGGGTTTTAATTCCTCATTTTCCTCCACCACACTTTCCTTCTCCTCCTCCCTCAATTTCATTCTCCAGAACTCCTCTGACAGCTGGCTGCTTATCTCCTCCTCCTTTCTTTTCTTGACCTCCTCCTCTGTCTTCTCTTCCTTCGTGTTATCGTTCACTTTCTCAGTCATCACAACCTCCTCCTCCTCCGTCATCACCACCTCCTCCTCCTCCATCACCACCTCCTCCTCCTCCTGCTTCATCTCCTTCAGTTCCTCCTCCTCCACCATCCTCTTCTCATAGACCTCATAATCTGTTAGAGGACAGATGATTGCAGTTTGCACATACACACCGTCAGTTTCATGTTAAACTCCA